TTTGTACAAAATGTTCCTTTAATATCTCTAATTTTCCTGAACAGATCTCTGATTTTTCCTTTTCTATTATTTTCCTCTATTTCTTTGCATCATTCATTTAAGAAGGCCCTCTTGTCTCTCCTTGCTATTCTTTGGAAGTCTGCATTCAATTTTCTGTAACTTTCCCTATTTCCCTTGCATTTTGTTTCCGTTCTCTTCTCTGCTATTTGTAAGGCCTCGTTGGTCAGCCACTTTGCTTTCTTGCATTTCCTTTTCTTTGGGATAGTTTTAGTTGCTGCCTCCTGTACAATGTTACGAGCCTCTATCCAAAATTCTTCAGGCACTCTGTCCACCAAATCGAGTTCCTTAAATCTGTTCTTCACTTCCACTGTGTATCGATAAGGGATTTGGTATAGATTATACCTGACTTTGGTCTAGATCATACCTGACTTGCCCAGTGGTTTTTCCTACTCTCTTCAGTTGAAGCTTGAATTTTGCTATAAGAAGCTGATGATCAGAGTCACAATCAGTTCCAGGTCTTGTTTTTGCTGACTGTATAGAGCTTGTATTCGCGAAGGCTTTCACGGACGGGATCTAATGGTTGTTGTGGGTTTTTCGGGCTTCTGGGCCGTGTTCTGAAAGTGGTTCTTCCTAACGTTTCACCAATCTAGCGAAACGTTAGGAAGAACCACTTTCAGAACACGGCCAAGAAGCCCGAAAAACCCACAACAACCAATGTATAGAGCTTCACCATCTTTGGCTGCAGAGAATATGATCAATCTGATTACAGTATTGCCCATCTGGTGATTTCCATGTGTAGAGTCGTCTCTTGTGTTGTTGGAAAAGAGTGTTTGTGAAGACCAGCTTGTTCTCTTGACAAAACTCTATTAGCCTTTGCCCTGCTTCGTTTTGAACTCTTAAGACCAAACTTATTTGTTATTCCTTTTATCTCTTGACTCCACTACTTTAGCATTTGAATCCCCTAGAATGAGAAGAACATCTTTCTTTGGTGTCAGTTCTAGAAGGTGTTGTAAATCTTCATAAAATTGTTCAATTTCAGTCTCCTCAGGTTGGTGCATAAACTTGGATTATTGTGATGTTGAAAGGTCTGCCTTGGGGATTCATATTGAAATCATTCTATCATTTTTGAGATTGTATCCCAGTACAGCTTTTCTCATTTTTTTTGTTGGCTATAAGGGCTACTCCATTTCTTCTACAGGCTTCTTGCCCACAATAGTAGATATGGTAATCATCTGAATTGAATCCACCCATTTCTGTCCATTTTAGTTCACTGACACCCAGGATGTCATTGTTTATTCTTGCCACCTTTGTAGATCATTAGGGCACTAAAATTCCCAAGGGGGATTACTACACAGTTGACAGGCCAACAAGATTTTCTTTCTTTTCATGGTTTTTAATATTTTGAATGAGAGGTTGCCCTGATGTTTAAAATAAATGGAGGAAAGCAAAGGTATTAATTTCTGAATTCATATTAATACCCTGTTTCCTTGTAAATAAGACCTAACCTGAAAATAAGCCCTGTATGATTTTTCAGGATGCTCATAATATAAACCCTACCCCCAAAATAAGCCCCAGTTAATTGAAACCCCACCCTCCACCACTGTGCAGCAACAAGAAGATGACATGACTGTTTGAATAAATGTAGATTGTTGTACATGAAAAAAATAAAACATCCCCTGTAAATAAGCCCTAATTCAATTTTGGAGCAAAAATTAATATAAGACCCTGTCTTATTTTCAGGGGGAAATGGTAAGTATAAATAGATGTTAGGTATGTGCAATATCTGGAGAAATGACTTGCTGGCTTTTTAAAAGGTATCAAGTTTGACAGGCGGGGCTTGTTGCGGTGCTGCCAGCAGCTTCCCAGAGAAACTCCTGGGAAAAGTTTGAACCGCCCAGTTTGGGGGTCCTTCAGAAGATGGAGGACCAACGGGGAGGCTAGGAGAAGTCTCCCTGAAGCAGTTGGTGAGCAACAGAGGAGAAGGAAGCTGGGCAGCAACCTGGTATTTCTTCCCTCTGAAGAGATCACCCAAGCACAGATCGGATGCGGGAGCCATCTTCGGCAGTTAAGCTGTGAGTAACCCACCCCCTATGGAAGAGAGGAGAACCATCAATAAATCTGCCTCTTCAGTCATCTGTGGACTGCTGCTTTCTCGGGGCAAGTGGTTTTTCATGGAGGCTTCTTGTGCCTGTTAATTCCCTATAGGAATCCCATGATAGAATCAATGTCAATTTGCTCTCCCTAGTTAGTGAATTGAGACGTAGTTGCTATAAGTGAAACGTCCTCCGAAGTAACATCTTTCTGGCCAGAATCTCGCCATAGAGGAAATTCTGTTAGGAGCACATCTGGTAAATCTGCCTCTTCAGTCATCTGTGGACTGCTACTTTCTCAGGGCAAGTGATTTTTCGTGGAGGCTTCTCGTGGATTTTTCATGCAGGTAGCTAGCCCCTCATCTGGGTCACTACTTGCTTGGATCTGACCTTTCCTGCAGTCATCTCGACAAAATCCCGTTGTTCCCTGGGCGACTGAGAGTTTATAGTGCCCTGGGGAAAATTATTCTCCTCTTCTGCTTCTGTTTCTGGAAGCGCTATCTCTCCCCACAATTCTCCTTCGCTGTCATCTGAACTTGTGTATAGGATTTCATCCCAACCCGTAGCCCTCTGGTGTCTCACCTTTCTGTTGGGGACAATTTCCCTTGGGCTCAGGTCTGCTTCATCTCTCCAGACTTCTTGTTCTCGTACTGCTTTGCAGGCCCCCATCTTAGTTCTCCATACGTCCCGCTCTGGAATGACTCTGCAAGCTGGCACATCTCCCTGCATGGGGAAAAGCTCTTTTCGAGGAGCCACATTCCCTCTGGTATTTTGGTGCATAGGGAAGGACTCTTCCTGCACAAGCTCAATGAGGTTATCACACCTGGCTCATGAGGCTGAGATTCTTCGAATATTTGGAATAGCTTTGAAACTGGCCAGCATGTCTTTTACAGTCTCTCTGGCAGTTGCCCCCAGTTGATTCTCGATCCAGGGCATAGCTGTCGTAACTGGATAGGGATTTCCCTTCCTGAAATCTTTTGTCCCTCTCTATCCTCAACCTCTGTCTAACAGCTATCTCTTCATAATATTTCCTGGTTATCCTATACATGTAAGCAGTATACTTTTCTAAGAAATCAAGGAACAACAAGAGATCTAACTCTGACTCCATCTTCTCTATCTGTTATACTTTCCTCTCTGCTTGATCTAGCAAAAAGAACAATCTCCAGTTCCCTTCTCTTTTTGTCTGCTGCTTTGTATAAAAAAATAGCTCAAAGAGAATTCCCCCTACTCTCTCACTACTCCTGTTAGCAAAACTAGCAGCTTTGCCACCTGATTCCTCTGTGTTAGTAGAGAAAAAAACAACTCAGAGAAAAACTTTATCTAATGCCTGCCACTCTGAGTAGAACAGAGAGAAGTACAAAATAGCCTTGTGGGAACCTTCCTTAACACTGATAATTTGCCTCAGCAATATTCTCAATGGGAGTTGTATCGTTATCCTGAAATCCTTGGAAATGTCAAACTGAATTTATAGTTTGACTCTTAACAGTTTGATTAGGTGGGCACAAAATATAGGACATAATATTGATATTGATCAATGGTTGCAAACATGGAAAAATAACATTAAGCTCAGAAAATCAGTAAATTTCAAGGAGAATATATACAAGATGTTTTGTAGCCGGCATATAACTCCAGAAAAATTGTCAATGATTTATACAGAGGTGCCAAATGTTTGTTGGAAGTGTGAAGCACATGAGAGCAGCTTTTACCTTATGTGGTTGACTTGTAGAGTAGCAAAACAGTGTTTGATTAGCAGTGCATACTTTGTTTCAAAAATACTGCTTTGTAATGTTCCACTAACCCCAGAACTGTTTTAATGAGCATTATACCAGACAAGATAGATAAGACAAAGAACTGCTTATTATATATATATAATCTCAGCAGCCAGAATTCTTTATGCTAAGAATTGGAAGAAATCAGAGATACTGAAATAAGAGGAACTCATTGAGAAGATACGGGAAGCGGCAGAAATTGATTTTTTTTCAGAAGTGCTGAAATACTGTCCAATACAAAAGGCAACTGAACGATGGGATTTATTATATAAATGGCTTGAGTCACCAGATAGTGCATGAATAACAGATTTAAACTAAAATATAACTGTAAGTTAAAACTTGGAGGGCAATCAAATTGTAGTAAAGCAGAAAGTTGATTAGATATTGCAACATGAATAGAGTGGACGACAGTATATTTTGTGTTCTCCTACCCATCCTTTTCCCCCATATCCCCCTATACCTTCTGTACCCCTTACCTTATCCCAAGTTGTCAATAAAAAGTATCAAGTTTAAAGGTGAGCAGTCTTCCACTTCAAATATTTTCTGTTATACTACCTGAGTTTTGACTTTGAGGTTAAAAAATAGTAATAGGTATTTCATTTTAACATTCTGATCGTTGCTATTGCAGATACTATAGATAGTATCCTATAAAAAAAGGAATAATAATATTTTTCTGTTCTTCATTTTGCATTGTGGTTCAGTGGCATACATTTTTATCCTTTGCCTGTCTTCAAGCGCTTTGGACTTAACTGCTTGCCCTTTAAATGTATTTGAAACAATTGTTGAGATTTTAAAAAGCATGTTACATTAAGTCATTGTCTTATGAATGCCATGTTTTTCATCTGTAAAGATAACATTAGAACCTTTGCAGCACTATTTTTACATATTCATTATTTAAATAAAAGATATTTTTATCTATATGGCTTGTTTCTACAGACATTGTCTCTCCTTGCTATTTCCAGTATGCATACCTTAGACTTTTTCACATTTCTCTCCTATTAAGAAAACCCTACCTAGTAATATGACCCCAACGTTCTGGTAACCTTGTAGCAAGGGACATTATAGATTAGTAAGTATGTGCATAGAACAGTATATCATTTTGTATATACTTTGAATAATTTTTAATGTTGGTTATTTGTAGGAAGAGGAAGAAATGGCCTATGAACAAACTTTAGAGTTCCGCAGAGGTGGTGATGGTCAACCTCGACGATCAACACGGCCAACTCAACAATTTTATCAACCTCCAAGAGCTAGGAATTGATCAAAGGTAAGTGCTGATTGTGGTCATGGGAAAAGAAATGCTTTTAATACTTGCTTCTGGGAAGTATTTTAAAATTTCTAAATTTATTATTTCCTACAAGAAAGAAATAACTCACTGGCATTCTTTTAGAATTTACTTGGTACTCTTGGCACCAGACGTTTCGTGAGTCTGGAAACTCACATTGACAATATTTTAGTTTCAAATCACATAAAAATGTGCTAGATATTAACAGACTCCTGGGAAAATGCATATTTTCTTCTAAAGCTTAGCTGGAAATATCTGTAACCAGCCTGCAGCATGGATGCCACAAGTCATAACTTAAATGGGAATGTTATGGTTCTCCTTTGGATGAGAACCATAAGGTCTGTGGCTCTCTCTGTAGCATAACAGTGAGCTGTACATTTCTCCCTATAATGACATGTTCTATGTTTTACTTGATTTGAAAAATGCTTGTCAAAAAAGCTAGCTGTCTTTAGCTGATGGATAACAAATGAAAAATAAAGCATATAGCAGTCTGTGCAATTTTTTCAACTGAGAAAACAAAGCAAGACTTTTATTAATAAACAGCAGAAATCTGTGTTAGTACTGTCTGATTGCCATTAATAATTTTTAGTTTGTTTTGATTTGTTCCTGCTTGTTTCTTGCATATCACATTGCTATGGTTAGAATGAAAAATAAATAAAAGTAAATTAAACATCTTATTAATTTGAGTTAAAATATTTTTAAACAGTTTTAAAACTCATCATAAAATACTACAAGTAAATAGTATAAAATCTTCCTTTCAAAGTCTCTTGCCAAGCTGCCTGTTCCATTCCAAAAAACATGTCTGAAGATACATGCTTGCCTGCCAGCAGAAGTCTAGCAATAAGGGGGCCAAGCCTCCCCTCCACTAGAAGGGAATTACACGGGGTGGACATCAAGAAGTCCCTCTCCAGCAATACTTGTGAGAGTAGTAGGACCTGAAGAAGGATCTTCCCAAAAAACTCTAAACTCTGAGAGATACAATTCTTCAAATAACCTGTACCTAAGCCATGCAGGGTCATAAGAGTATTTTGAATTATGGTAGAAAACAGATCAGTAAATCAGTGAAACTTTTAGCCACAGTTGCTCTTTCTGTCTGGTGGCAGATGGAAGACCAACGGAACATCACCCTTTGGCAAGCATCATAATAAGACACACACTTTGTGCCATCAATGTTTGTCCATCTCCAGAAGTCAGCCTGTGAAAAATGTGGATATTCTGCTAACTGCAAGAAGAAGTATAACGAGTGCTAAGGCTATGAGGTGCAATAGTACTGGGACTGGTCATATGAAGTATCTGAAAAAGGTCTACTGTAGATTCAGGAATGGATTCAGTGAAGGAACAGCACCAAAGCCCAAGAGAGGTGCAGTTGCATCTTCCAGCTCATCTTAACGACTTAAATGTCTATTCGGGGTTTTCCGGTTCTGGTTTGAGGGAGGAACAGCGTTCATATCAAGCTCTGCTTCCCTTTTAATCCTTTTAATCTTTATTTTTAATATTTTCAAAGCATTCAGCTGCTCAAGTGACTCTTTCCAGGACACATCCAAATCTGTCTCCGAAGTCAAGCTCTCTCTCTTCCTGGTTGGGAGTTTAAGGTACTTATTTACAAACCTTGAAGCTGCTGCTACAATAACAAGACACTGTTATCTCTGGCTTTGCTGCTCCCACTCTTCCATTCAAGATTAATTGCAGCAAGGAGTAATTGCTACACTTGTAGCTCTGGGTTGGACTTTTGGTAGCTAGTTGAAAAGAGAAGGCTGAACTGTATGGGGGATAAACGATGCAGAACCAGGCAGGAGCAGCCGCTCGCAAGGGCGGTGAAACAACTGAAGATTGATGAGCTAATAACAGCCAACTGTCCTGTGAGTAACCTTGCTACATTACCTATAGCTTCCAGCATTATTACTAACAACAAATTTGCTTTGCTGAGAAATGAAACCCTCTCGTCCCCACCGGGTGCTTGTGACTTATCTGCAATTTCTACCCCTTGCACCCCCCTACCCCCAAAAAAGTACAGTTCCCCTCTGAAAGTAACCATGCTAACTTTCTAGCTGAACAATGTCTCCTAACTGCTCAAACAGTAATAGCCATCTTTTAAAACTTACAACGGGTTTGCAATCAAATGAACTCAGTTGAAAGTGCTCTGGGGAAACTTACTGAGACCCTTCTTCAATCCAAGGATAATACACAAACCAGGGGGTTCAAAGAAAGGGCAGATGGCAGATTCAGCAGTAAAGACGGCATACAACAACTGGCTCCACAACAATTGGCTTCCCAATTGAATAGGGAGACAAAGTCATCAAAGATCTTTCAGAGCACTCAGGTGATATTACAAATTGCTCCAATTGTCATCAACAGAAAGAGATGGGAGACACACAGATCAGTGATGATCTCCTTGAGTCAACTGTTAAATATAGAAGTGTGGAAGATTGACCTCAAGAATATTCGATGGCTCCCGCACAAGTATGGTCATAAAAGAGTTTGTCTCACCTTTGAACATGCTGTGATCCCTCTCATTCTCCTAAAAATGAGAACTT